TATTTTAAATAAATACCATTTAAAAAAAAATATATTCTGTAGATACCTTTTAAGGTTTATAGCAAAATATTTAATTTTGGTTACCTCCTAGCCCTAAGACACTAAGTACGCTAATCAGTTACACTATTTTCTTTCTCTCTCTACTTTGATACATCACATTCTCTTCCCCCGTCCCATTAAAATTTCTGCTCTCCTCCTCCTTCTAATGCACAGCGACAACAAACCCTAACCCACACAAAACAAGCGCAAATTATCATTCTTTTTCGCTAAGTATTTAGAGATCATTATAACAGAGATATCGAGCAACACAGGTCAGAGCTAAAAGGAAAGGATGGTAATTACAAATTGAATCTGCAAAAAAAGATAACAGTGACCGGGACAAACGAGCTCGCCTCACCATGATGGAAGGGATGAAGAAGATCGGAGCCAAAGATCACGTATTTTATGGTTGCCTGATTTAGGACTTTATCTCTAAGACTTGTGGAGGTACATAGATTTGAAGCAGTCACTTCCTCCAGGTTTGAGCGTGCAAGATCTTTGAAGATGGAAGGACTATTTGGCTACAAGGCGGAAATTAGGGTTTGTTGTTGAGCAAAGATGACAGAGTTTGGGGCTGAGCAACTTGATTTTCTGTTAATATATTTCAATGTATTTGCAACGTATCACGTGTATTTTCATGTATTTTATTGTATTTATTATCTTTTTATTCATTGTAATTCAATGTATCTCGCTGTATTCCGTGTATTTCATTGTATTCACTGTCTTTTTTTCATTGTATTTCAATGTATCCCGTTGTATTCTATGTATTCATATATTTTTTCAATTAATATAATTTATGTATTCAGATGTATTATATAATTTCTCTAGAGATTGCTATGTTTTGGGGGGGTTTTCCAGTTGAGAATCTTTTTTATAACCGAAAATATAAATTTTATGTGTTATAATTGAGTTTGTTGAGTTATATTAGTAGTCTATTATGTTAATTGATACATTTTCCATTTAAAAACAGTGTAATCCCCTTGTTTCATGTCATAAATACAGTCGAATACAGCAAAATACAATAATTTGTCCAGCTGTAATCCCATGTTTTATGCCATGAATACAGGCGAATACACTCGAATACAACAACTGATTAGCTGGACTTCCCTGATTCACGCCTATTTTTGCTACTGTATTCATGAATACAATAGCTTAAATACATCAAATACATCATATAACCACAAAAAAAGTATCTATAATCCGTTATATAGCAGCAACAACAACAACAACAACAACGACCCAGTATAATCCCACAAGTGGGGTCTGGGGAGGGTAATATGTACGCAGACCTTACCCCTACCCCGAAGGGTAGAGAGGCTGTTTCCAGGAGACCCTCGGCTCAAAAAAGCAATAGGAGATGATATATTAGTACCATAAAAATGCGTAATAAAAATAACAACAATATATAAGAGATACGAAATATGAAATACAGGATACGAAATACGAAATACGAAATAGATGGCTGGTATAGTACAACTAGAAGGTAAAGCCCTGCATCAATAGACGACCACTGACATTCCTAGTCTAACTCCTAACTAGATAGTCTCTCTCACTTGTGCTGTAGAAATATTCACACTCTCCCCTAACCTACAACCTTAATGCTCGACCTCCATAATTCCCTATCAAGGGCCATGTCCTCAGTAATCCTAAGTCGCGCCATGTCCTGTCTGATCACCTCTCCCCAATACTTCTTAGGTCTCCCTCTACCTCTCCGCGTGCCCACTACAGCCAGTCGCTCACACCTCCTCACCGGTGCATCAGTGCTCCTCCTCTGAATGTGCCCGAACCATCTGAGTCTTACTTCCCGCATCTTGTCCTCCATGGGGGCCACACCCACCTTCTCTCGAATATCTTCATTCCTAATCTTATCCATCCTTGTATGCCCGCACATCCACCTCAACATCCTCATCTCTGCTACTTTCATCTTCTGGATGTGTGAGTTCTTTACCGGCCAACATTCAGTTCCATATAACATGGCAGGCCTAACCACTGCTCTATAAAACTTACCTTTTAGTAACGGTGGCACTTTCTTGTCACACAAGACTCCCGACGCTAACCTCCACTTCATCCAACCCACCCCTATACGGTGTGTGACATCCTCGTCAATCTCCCCGATCCCCTGAATAACCGATCCGAGGTACTTGAAACTACCTTTCTTGGTATATAGCAAATGGTATCTATAGATGGCTAATTACTACTAAAAGATAGTGCTTTATGAAAATTTCTATATATATATATATATATAAGAATTTATTCATTTATTGTACTTAACACGGTCCAGCCTGATTTGACATTTTTAGTAAAAACTTTGGCAGAATGTAACAAAGTGCAAAAGGCGGGAGAAATGCACGGTTAGCCACTAATAACACATGTATTTAATTTTAAGCAACTGTTTAAAATGTCTTTAGTCTTTAGCCACTGCTTTAATAAACTTTAATTGCCCAGACGAAAATACTCTTCTACTCATGTCCTTAATTTTTGAACTTAACTTCAAGACTTCAGGACTACATGTCCTTAACTTCAGGACTTCGGGACTACATGTCCTTAACTTTTGAACTTGGAACTCTAAGTTCAGGACTACAAGTCCTTAACTTTTGAACTTAACTTCATGACTACATGTCCTTAACTTTTGAACTTAACTTCAGGACTACATGTCCTTAACTTTTGAACTTGTAACTGTAAGTTCAGGATCAAGTGTCCTTAACTTTTGGGCTTCTTAGCCTAAGTTTAGGACCTATTGTCCTTAACTTTTGAGCTTGTTAGTCTAAGTTCAGGACCTCAGGACCTATTGTCCTTAATTTTTGAACTTGTAACTGTAAGTTCAGGACCTATTGTCCTTAACTTTTGAGCTTGTTAGTCTAAGTTCAGGACCAAGTGTCATTAACTTTTGAACTTGTAACTCTAAGTACTTTTGAGCTTGTTAGTCTAAGTTCAGGACCAAGTGTCATTAACTTTTGAACTTGTAACTCTAAGTTCAGGACCAAGTGTCCTTAACTTTTGAACTTGGAACTTGAAGTTAAGGACCAAATGTCCTTAACTTTTGAACTTGAAACTGTAAGTTCAGGATCCATAACTGTATGTTCAAGTCCTTTCTCTACGTGTACGTACTAAGTGGGAAGTCTTTTAAGAACTTTATTATGGGTTGGTCCCTCCTCTACAAGTGTAACTGCAACTTCTATCAATAAAATAATCTCATCCAGCTAATGAACTCCTGCTGTATATATGCACCACAACTTTGAATTACCATTGTCCCACAAGTTTATCTAATTAATTTTCTTTTTAATTGATTAGTATTTAATTACTGAACATCTTACTTTTCATGATTATGTAAATTATTATGTCAGCATCTTTCAAAGGTTTCAAAAACGTTGAGTCCACGGCAGTCCCACCGAAAAATTCTTCCGTCTCATAACAGTTCTTCTCCCTAACACATGAAAGAGATAGAATAAAGGGTAACATAATCTTTTCATATTAATTTTAATAGACTAGTGGCTACAATTGCTAAGCATTAAAAATGCTGGATAAAAAGTAAATACCACTTTAAAAAGTGGCTACCCTACACAATTTTTACGCAAAAAGCTGCTTATTCCTCACACTTCTTCCCCACCATCTCCTGCCCCATCCTCTCTTCTCCTCTTCTTCGTTGATAAATCTATTAGTTCCCAGTTACAAGCTACTCCCTCCTTTCAATTTAGATGAAACACTTTATTTATTAGTCAGATCCCAAAAAAATGACATATTTCTATAATTGGAAATAATTCAACTTTAAACTTTTCATTTTATTCATTTTACCATTAATAGGAAGCTTTTATAACCACACAAATGTTTTGGCCCCATAAAGCTTTAATCCCTTAAGGTTTTAAGACCATAAGTTTCAAAAGTCTCTCCTTTTTCTCTTAAACTCCGTGTCGAGTCAAAATGCCTCATCTAATTTGACACGGAGGGAGTAATATAATTTTAATTGTTATACTTCACTCTAACTCAGGCTAGTAGTGTTATTATTAATAGACATTGAGAAAACGGACGACGTTTCAGATCTCAAAGTTGGACTTGGAGGGCAACTCGTATGAGTCACATTTCAGTGGGTTTCTTCTATATTTTGTTTTAAAAAAATTGACAACAGCTAGAAGTGTGAAATCACCCTACGAATATGCATCGCGTCCGATTAACGGGTCTATCTTCAATCAACTCATCTAATAGATTTTGTTCGAGATATAAAACTTGTGTAACTTGTCGAAGCATGTTAAACTGGGACATATTAGTTGAGCGTCAACATAAGCTCACCCACAATCCTTCTTAAAGACTGTATCATCATGTGCCACTGTATCGCTCCGATTTTATCAAATGTCTCCAAAGTAATATTCCCTCCACATCAATTTATGTGTCTTAGTTTGATAGTACACGAAATTTAAGAAAGTAAAGAAGATTTTTAATCTTGTACTCTTAAACTAAATATACGTGTAGTGCCAAAAGGCTGTTGAATCTTCTTGTTTTAAATATGCCATGTGAAAAACTAGAGTTAGAGACTTACTAAATATAGAAAGAGGTATTGTTTTTTAATGAGGCTCAAATGAAAAGTTAGATACATGAATTGAAACAGGAGTATGTGTTAATCCTGGGAAAAAAGATAATCAACGTACGTGGGTGTATACCATATGTTCTTTTCCTTTATCGAATTATAACGATATTGCTAGTTAGATAAATAGATCAATTGGGTAACACTATGACCGACTAAAAAACATCTATTTGACCAACCTACTGGTGCAACACAAGAAAAACAAGCTCAAAAAAATTAACCAAAACAGAACAGGTAGTAGTTACATGGAAAAAGGTTAAAAAGAGAGAAGGGGAAAGGAGAGAGGAAAAGGATCGTTCATTGGTCATTAACTCATTGTTATAATCAGACGCACGGAACACCATAAATCTGGATTGCATATTGCAACTTCTAAGAGTAGGTCAAATGGGCAGTGCATCAACAGAGTAGTAAATCAATAAATTGAGAAGATAAAATCGGAATTATGTTACTTGCAAAATCAATAAAAAATTATGTTACTTGCTCTAGAACTCACCAGGAGCCAACAAGGCTCATAATCATAAACTGCAAACAAACTATACTGTCAACACCCTTCTAGACAACTAGACGTAAAACTTGAGAACACAGTACTTTACAAACGTACGAGTGGGGTTACTCAATGTCGCTTAATTTTGCACCATTGAACTGAGATTATACAGGGACACGTTTCCCACGATAGCGGTCAAAGAACTGCAGAGAAGAATAAACAATCTCAGGTAAAAGAAACTGAACAAGAATTGTAATATGCAATTTTCAACAGATGCACAAGGATTAGAAAATCAGAAGTTACTTAACAAGGTTGACAACCCCATAGCAGTCTATGACCTTATATAACATCTCACACCTTCACCCAACTTCATATCAGTATCTAATAACTAGGCATAAATGTTTAATTTATTTTATTAAAATAGAAATGTCTCAGATAAGATGATAGTGATCAATGAAGAGTGGAACACCCATAATTTCCATTTCCGGGAAAAACAAAGAACTCAGGGAGAGCCTTGGCAAACTTTCAAGTATGTGTAAATAGTTACTCCTAACTCGTAAAACAGCTTGTGTGCTCATGTCGGAATAAGGTTAGAGAAGGAATCAAGTCATAAGACAAGACCAAGAAGAAGTCGCCCAGTATGGATCTTTTCCGGATCTCACTAAATCAGGTCATATCAATTGCCTATTTATGTTGATTCATAGGACACTGCCTGAATAAATTGAGTGAAATTATTTTAGACCCTGTTGCTTAATATTTGGTCTGGTCTATCTCAATTGTGGAAAATAACATCTCAAGTTTGTAGCATGGGAAGTCCAATGACTTGCTTGTAAAACATGTGCAGGAAATGGTTTGGGCGCAGAACAAATTTTAAGACCAACTAGTAGAAAGAAATGTGGTTTCTCTTAAATCATTAATCCACCACAACACCACCTGAACTTTAACATAATTTTGGAAATTTTGAACTTCTCCCTATCCAAACCCATAAATATTGGCTCACTACCTGGTAAAACTTATGGAACCTATAATATTAATTTATTAATTATATTAAACATGCTATGACAATTCAAATTGGCAAAATGCTTCAAAAACCAATAACTTGAGACCTACCTAGTGTTGTACAATGTTTTTAAAATACCATATGATTAATTCAATATATTAATTTCCTTGCCTATCAAAAAAGTTCATTATATTTACAAAAGGTAATGAGGTTTTCAATTTCATGGGGCTTTTTTAAGTTGTTGTAATATTGAAATGAATTAGCCTTAGCAAAATAAAAGAACTAGTTAGCTAAGTGATAATAGCTTAATATGAAACCATGGGTAAAATGTTTATAAGTGTATAATACATAATAGATAGATTATCAGGTTGACCTAATATTTTAACCCTTTGACACCATATCAATACACTTATTATGTTTTGGGCACAGGCCCCTGTCCTATCTTACCCTACTTATAGATTGGGCTTATAGCCACTTCTTATATTTTCCAACCTTTCTTAACAGGTTATAAGATAAGTAAAATTACATAGAATATATATATATAGCAAGTTTATCACTCAAAATATTAAGTGTGAAGTGGATGGTGTTTAAATACAGAAAATAAAGGTATAGGTTTCAGTCTTCCAAGGAAATGACATGGATAACAAAATTAAGATGGTCGAAATAGAGGAGTGTCACAGGAATACTAATTGATAAGAAGATGCCTGAAAAAGTTAAAAAGGAAGTCTATGGAATGGAGTCAATGGACATGAGACCAACAACGTTATATGGACGTGAATGCTGGTCCTAAATATCTCCAAATGTGTGCCATAAAAATGAGACGGTTAAGAAAGGTGTCCAGTGAACATGATTAAACAAAATTAGAAATTATTACGCTTAACAAAGAGATCAAGTAGCACACATAAATGACACAATGAGAGAACAATCAAAAAATATGACACAATGGGAGAAAATTGCTCTGGTTTGACTAGGGCTGTCAAATTTGGCCCAAGGTTGGGCTGGTTATTGACTATCTCACTTATTGAACTTAGTCCATCTTGACTCAACCCATCTCAACCCATTTAAAGTTGGGCTAATTTTTAGTCCAAATTGATCTATGAGTAACTTTGCCAATTTATAAGAAAAAAAAAGTCTTATTTAGTAATTATACAATTTATAAGAAAACAATACATATTAATTAAATCTTAATAAGAATTGGGCGGGTTAGGTTATAACCCAAATTTTAGCCCATCTTAGCCAAGTAACTTTTGGGCAAGTCATATGACTCAGCCCATTTTAACCCGCCCGAGGTTAGTCATGATACTTACGGAGTATACGGGATTGGTTGTACTTATACTACACTCTGCACTTAATTGTGCAGATCCAGGTGTGGGACCTTGTGTTGGATTACTGTGGGAGACGAGGTCGAGTTGCATCATGTTCGCAAATCTTGGCGTCTCTTTCCATTACTATTACTAATATTATTGTTCAGACAATACTTGTATAATATCAGACTTGTAATCCTATTGTAGAGCTCATGACTCTATATTACCAATTCTAGGAGATTTCTTGTATCACAAGAGTCTTTATTTATGATATTTGGCTTTTAGATTTGTATTGTTTCCTAATTTTTATCTTGAATTGTTATTGTTATGCGTGGCTTGCCTAGCAAGTGAGTTAGGCGCCATCACGACCGGATGGTGGTTTTGGGTCCTGACAACTACAGTGCAAGATTAGAAATGACAGTGCAATGAAGATATTGGGTGTGAGCAAGTCAATTTTACGAGTGGTGGTCAATAAATATTGAAGTAATTTGCTAAATATTGGGTGGAAAGCCGAGAAAATTCACTGCATTATTCGTCTAATTTCTTTCTTTTAATACATAGAATATCATGATATAACAAAAGTTAGTAGGGTTGAGAGTAGTTGCTGACTTTTCAGTTTATAAATTCAATGATGATCTACTACAGCAGTAATCAACACCAAAAACAAAAAATTGGGGTAGCAGGTGCCTTGCCCTACAACTCACAACATAAAGATATTAAGACCAATTACCCCCAAAGCCCCATTCAAACAATCATAAAAACCAGTGTTTTGGATAGCGTGCAGCGACAAATAGCGACGAGGGCCCGCTTCACTGAGGCGAGAGGCGCGCAGCGAAGCGCTCGCCTTTTTTATGTGAAGCGACAATTTATACAAAAACATAAAATATTATATACATATAACTAAAAACTCAATATCAAGTCAATGCAATTAATTCTACTATATAAAGAAGACAAAAAAATAGAGCAAAAAAAAAATGATTCTGCCTTTGGAAACACTGTCTCTGGAAAAAAACAGCAAAGAAAAAAAGACAAAAAAAAACAGAGCAAAACAAAAAATTGATTCTGCCTTTGGAAACAGCAAAGAAAAAAGAACAAAAATGAAATTTTTGCCTCTAGAAAAACAGCAACTAAAGAAGAAGACAACACAGAGCAAAAAAAAAGATAAGAGAAAAAGAAAAGTCTCAGTTTTTGCTCGACAAAAACAGCACAAATACAGACCCTATTTGGCTCTGTTTCTATCGACAAAAAACAGAAGAAACAAAATAGAAAGAAGAAGAGAAGAAAGAAGAAAGAAGAAGAAGAAAAAGAAGAAGACGCAGCATACCTCTGTTTTTTCGCTATTGAAGCTTGAAGAAGATGAAGCCAGATGACGAAGAAGAAGACTGAAGAAGACCGTTGGTTTGTTCGCAGGTGAAAAGCCCTAATCGCTGAAGTTTTTTTGTTCGTGGGTGAAAAGATCGAAGCCCTAATTCCCGACTTAAGTCTTCTCCCTTTCTCTTTTTTTTTTAAAAAAAATAGCGACGCTACAGTCGCTACTCGCGACATTGTCGCCTCACGCAACACACCCTAAAGCGAGCGCTATTTGGAATCGCAACGCAACAGATGCTCTGAAGCGACACACCCTCGCCTCGCCTCACGCTATTAGCGCTGAGGCGAGTGCTATTTATAACACTGATACAAACAAAGAGAAATAAAAGCCAAACGAGACCAAACCAAAGCAAAAAAAAGGGATAAAAGTTTGCTAGCCCAAGCGCCACCTTAGACTTTAGACAAAACTGTTTATTGAGGGGAAACTAGTTAACAAATTCCTTGACGCACACCCCAAATAGACAAAAAGATAATAATGCAATGAGATATATATGATTTTAAAAGCAAACATACCGATCTGACAAACGGCTGCTGGAAGATCCAACCTAGAATAGGTATCTTTTGCAGGAATACTGACAGTGTTGGCCAGAAACCACTGCATACAACAATTCATCAGCAACCAAAGGAATAAAAAAAGAAATTACAACATTCAAAGAAACATGAACTCAATATACCTGAAGAGTACAATGAATCCATAAGCTTCAAGAATCATTCCCAATATAGGCCAACCAATGACAACAAAGAAAAAGCCAGCACCAAATGAAGCTGTTCCCTAAGGAACAAGGAAACGATATAAAGTATAAAAAAGATTAAGTAATAGAAACACAAAAGATATATCACCAAAATATCTATTTCAAGAGAGAATAAGAGGAAGGAGGGGGTGAGAAGCAGAAAGAGAAAAACACATAAAAAAAGTAAACCTTATAGTTGCTCCGTTTCATAAAAAATTGCAACGATGACTTGAGACCAATGGTTAGTGCCACCCCTGAGAAGAAGAGGATCTGATTCAGTAAAATAACAGTGCGTCAACTGGGAGGCATAAGCAGAAAGCAAAGAAAAGTTGATGAACTAAAAGGAACATTTAAGAGAGAGTGATCGTGGCAGCATAATTGTACTTACATTTCCCATGGCAATTAGTCCCTTATCGAAGAAGAAAATGATCCCCAAGAATGAGAAAAACACCCCGAATCCCGTCAATCCTAGCCCAATCTCTGCTTCAACAAGCATCCCAGGTTTAGTAGATATAACAATTTAATAGAAAAACAATATGCTTCCATCTTTGCGTTACCATCTTTCAATCTCTAGAAATGCACCAAGTAGCAGAAACATCATACACCCTCTATCCCAATTTATAACACTTTTTTTCTTATTGGGATGTCCACAAGTGTAACACTATTCTACAAATATTGATTTATGCAACTCTCACAAGTTCCTAGATTCAAAAATTATTTAACAAATCAATTTTTATGTTTTGATGTGATGTTTAATCTTTTCTTTCATTTCTAATTATAAATCATACAAGTTCAAAAAATATCTTAAACTTCGACTTTAGTCAAATACGGAGGGAGTGTTTGCTAAAAGATACACGAAAATTGCTAACGTCGCACTTACATAAATAGGAACTCTACAGAATTATTCATTCTAATTAAGGAATATTTTCCACCTAAAAGCGTAGGAAGCCGGTGCCACGAAAAATAAAATGTAACTACTACATCAAATTATACCGTTTAAATCTTTACGCTCCCACGAGCTAAGACAAATATGATCATGATTTCCTGTATTATACAAAACTAAACCGGATACAACATATCATAATCTACATCAGCTTATTAGCTACAGGTTCAACACAATCCAGAATTTTCAACACAAAACATGAATATATATGTGAAAAAGCCACTAAACTTCAACAACTATTATGTTGTGAACCCATAATTCCAAAAATAAGTTCAGTGCAAAGAACTTTAAATGCTGAAATCATCAAGTTTAAATTCCGGATCCGCCTCTGATCTCTGTTACCATTTCAAATGGAGGCTAGACCACAACATCAAATTGGCCATAGTTCCACGAGGAGATACCATTTTAAATTACAAAAAACATCAAAACTCATTAACACAGGTTCTCGCATTCCACATTTCGATGTTGGTCAGTAATACTAATCCTCAAATATTATGAAATGGGAACAAAGTCAATTTGATTCACAAGCCACAACTGATTGACTTACTTTTCCGATCATTCATTTCGAACGAAACCATCTTGACCTAATCCAGACAAATCTAAATCAATTTTCACACCTGCAACACCGAATCTATCAAAAAATATAGTTAATAAATCAATTATTACGAATCCAAGCGAAAAAAAACTTAAACTCCAAAATTTCATGTCAGAACAGTCCGTTAGGGTTTCAAAACGGACACTTCAATAAAGATCCGAAACTCGAAAACGTTCAACACTACGAAGAAACGAACGGCATAATTGAATCTAGAGAGAGAAAGAGGGAGAACCTGTGAAATGGAGAGATAAGAGGTACAATTGAAGAGGATGCGCTCAGAATCGGAGGATGCGAAATGAGAATTTGGGCGGGTTATGCGGGTAGAAAATGGTTTGATTTGGGAGTCGTCTTCGATAGGAAGCAAGAGAATGCTATAAGCGTGATGACATGTATCAACTGAAAATTCTGAATCTGAATATCCCAATTCCCAAATTAGGAAGCTATAACCCGTTTTTCGAAAAGGTATTATTATGCGCAGTTGACCAAAATTATCTAGATTAAAGAATAGTCGGGTGTTGCTAAGTTTATAAGATGATCAAAATCAAATTATAATTCAGTTACAAAAATATTCATAAGTCAAAATTAACAAAAGATGTAAGTTGATCGCCTTTGATATATGACTTTTCCGTTTATAAGCACGTTTTATTTTATTAGATTTACTAATATATTTTTTGTAATTCATCAAATACTCTTCTCAAAATAAAAATTTTAATTTTCTTTTCATTTCATTTTTGCAACTTCTACGCGACTCACGTAAAAATCTCTTAGGGGTCGTTTGGTAGGGTGCATAAGAATAATGCTGAATATGATGTATTAGTAATGCTGGTATTAGTCATGATTGCATTAGTTATGCTGATATTAGTTATGCTGACATATTTCTTATCCATTATTTGGTTTGAGGTATTAAAGCATTGTGCAATTTCTAAAAGAATTGTTTGTTTACAAAAATGCCCTCAAAACAAGTCCATCACTTTAACTTTCTAAATGAAACATATGTTGAGAAATATTTTTATCGCAAAAAGTTTTAAAAAAATTATTTAATTTGTCTACCTATATTGTAAAATAGAACTAAATATTTATTTATAAAAAATAAAATATGCTAAGTATTTATTTATTTACTAGGACTATAATTTTATTTCTCACTATTTGGATTATTTTAAACTTCCATCAATATAATAACTAGCATATTTTAATCAAGCATAAATGTTGAAGGACAATTTTGACTTTAACTAAGCTAATGCATGCATTAAAACCCATTGCATTGCTAATACCATTGTTTTCTATGCATTAGTTATGCATATGATAATATAACTAATGTTTGCATAACTAATGCATAGGTTCAAAATGTCTACCAAACAATATATTATTAATACACAAAGCTAATGCATGCATTATTTTATCTAATGAATCCTACCAAACGACCCCTTAAAGTAAATGGGTATTTTGTACCAAAACTTTTTAAAAATATTTTCGTAAATTATTCAAAATGCTTATTTTATTCATATAAATTGGTTATTATTTTATTTATTTATTCTTCAAATTGAAAATAAAAAAACTTTCTAATATTTTCAATTATTATTTAATAATATTTGTATTAGAATTGTTAATTCTTTGGCTATATTAATGCTTTTGTTCTAAAATATCCAATATCAATACCTAATATAATATTGAATAGGAATTCTAATTTCTTATCCAAATATATGAATGCCTATTTATAAAATCTACCTCAACTCTTAATCGCTTCTCAATAACATCTAGAAAGTTCGGAGAATACATAATGTAAAATAAAGTATGTCTGGATTGAAGAGCACGTAAGAATGTGTAAGTTTTATTTTAATATAAATGGATAAATGGCAAAGGCGGTTAATTTATGACTTTAGGTGAGAAGTTCTTTTAAGAAACACGGTGCTGCAATTCCTATATTACCCCTGCAGCAAATCCTTCTCCTAAAAGAAATAGGATTTCTGATTCTTCCATATATATACTCTGCTCCATATCCTTTTTCCTCCAACAATTAACATAGCTAATTACACCTTAATTACCAAAGAGTATACATACGTAAATCCAATGGTGAAATCGACAGTATCTGAGACCTCGCGGGAGATGGAGGCAGCTCTGCAACTAATTCAACTCAGCGGTGATTCTCATGGCTGCAGCCTAATTGAAGAAGAAGGAGAAATAAGCGTGGGCAACAGTACGGAAGAAACGTACTCTTCTTTGAATCTTCATGAATACGAATCAGAAAACGGCCGATCGGAGTCGTCAATGAAGAAAATTAGAAAGTTCCGGTCAGTGGTCGATCTCTATCGGGCGACGAAACCGATAATGAAGAAGAAAATGAAGAAGCATCGAAAGGCTTTAATTTGAAAGAACGATATATAGCATTTGTATACTATTAATTAACGAATTCATATGTAGTACTAAGTAGGTGTATAGTAGTATCAGATTTGCTTTTGTCAGTGTTGTTAGCTTTCATAATTTCATAAAGGTAAAGCGCAGAAGTTTTCTCCTCTCTGAAGAAGTTACGTTTCCCTCGTTCAAGTGGGACTGTGGGAGTTTCTTCTCTTACCCTAACTAGTATTAATACCCGCGCGATGTGCAGACACAAACTATGTTAAAACTGACTTGGATTATTCGAATTATATGGAAATAACTTTAAAGTATAAACCGTTAGAACCAGGACATGAAACTATTTTTCAAATGTCATAATCGGTGATCTATTTTCTTTTTCTATATGTGTAACAACCAAACCCCTTCATTTTAATATTTTTATTTCGTTTTGCTATCAACATTAAAGAATATTAAAAATGTCATATTGTGATATGTGTTGTTTTAGCACATTCGATCATATTATTTTAACAAAAATCTTATTACCACTTTGTTTTTCATCTCAAATTTAAATAAGTCTTATTCTAATACATTTTTAAACATTTTTTTTATGTTCTTTGCTTATAGTTATTTCATTATTCATTACTTAATATCGTTATACTGTAATGTGAACTTATATTAGCTTACCAATTGACTTAATGTCTTACTTATTATCCTTTTAATAACAACAACAAACCTAGCTAGTAATTCCCCATGTGGGGCCTGGTATTATCTTTTTAATAATAATAACAATAATAATAATAATATATATATATATATATATATATATATATTGAAGTATTTATTTAATTATATAATTTATTTATATTAAATTATTCAACATATAAGTACCCTCACACTATCTCTATTTTTCTCTATATACATTCTCTTTCCTATTATGAAATTTTAATTATGTTTGATAATATAATATTTGCCTATAATAAAAATAATATCATATTTTTTTTAAATAGTAACTTTTAATTGTCTAAAATATTAATGCATAAGTTTTTTGATTATTATATTTCAAATCTATTGAGTTTTCTAATAATTGTTTTTCTAATACATCCAAGTAAATTTTCTTTCTCTTTTAGTTTGAAGATACAAATTTGACTTTTAATTTTCGTATGTAAAATTACCTACATTAGATATTATTTTGTGTTATTAAATTTCGTGGTAGTATCCATAATTTGAGAATTCTCATAATAATATTAAGAATTTTCTAAATTTAAGTTCAAATATATTTTCCCTCCATTTTTAATTATTTTCCTTAATTTTGCTATTATATTATCTAATATATAGTATTATCATGTTTTCATGTGACCTTTTATTAACTTTTCACTATATTATTAATATTCATTACTACACTTTAATATAATGTAGATAGATATTGCAATTATTTTAATCTTGAGATAAATATTTATTTTATTTAAAAAAATTGCTCGAAATTCATAAATTGTTTAAATTTATCAATACTATTTTTAAAATATTGTATATTTACTTTATTTTATTTACAAACTATTTCTTTGTATAAATCTCCTCTCAATAGCTCTAATTTATTTTAATTATTTACAAATATTAAGTTTTTATTTTATCTATTAGACTTGAATTATGTGGTCTTATCCACAACATGACCTTTCTTATCATAATAAACAAAATAACGTTTTCATCTCAAATTTAAATAACTTTAATCTTTCTTTTCTTTATGATGAAATTTTTGTTTTTAAAAAAAAAATCTTTTCTCTATTTATGCTTTGTTTTGCATTGTAGTTAAGCGAAAATTCGTAACGAAATAAAAAAATGATTCTGAAATTACAATTTATCTCAATTCAAGCTATGTTCTCTGCTGATTCACCACGACTTCTTTGGTAATATCAAGTTCATTATACAATAAAAAGGCAAAAGAATTACAGCGAAAACATAATAGGGCAATCTAGGTAGAATTATAATATCTTATCCTCTCTTAGCTACTACTAAGTTAATATTTAATTTAAATCAACTGACTCATCGTAACTTATATATAACATTTCGGCGGCGAATGCTCTATCTACCTATTTAGGAAAATCTTCTGACACCGCTAACAATAGATATTTGTGTTGCATCAAATTTACCCAAGCTCTTATAGTTTAAAAAAATTTAAAAAACTGAAAAATTGTACTCAAATGACAACATGTATTATTGATTGTATCACAATTAACCACATGACATCACATTGATAATAACAAAAGATCACTGATAAACCAACGATAATAAAGACTTATCATTGAGGAGTCATATATTTTGGTGCTATCATCTCTAATGCAGTTGAAATGATCTTCTTGGTGTACAGATGATATTATGTTCTTGCCATGCAGAAATTCTTTTTCGTTCCAATTTTTGTTGATTGCAAGTACAAATCATTTGCAAGTTTAAACAACATAAAACAGACTGTTTGGGGCTTGGCTTTTCAGATTAGAGAAGGTAGAATTGAAGAAATAGTGAATGGTTATGTACAAAAAGATTAAAGTACTTCTAAAAGAACAGTTTTTCCTCAAAGCAATAGTGATGGTTATGCAGTTATATCACGTTATAACACCACTCTTAAAAAGGAATTCTTTATCCCTCACGTATAGGGGGGAGGGGGAGAGAAAGTTTGATTTTTTCTTATTATTCTGTGCCTATGATTTAGGAGAAATATTAGCCGTTGAGGTGTTGATTTTATTTTTTTATTTTTTATATTTGAAGATATAATATACAACAAAAGTGATATTTACGACAAAAAATTCGTCACTAATTATTTGTTTTTCGTGACAAAAATTATATTTCGTCTTTAAATACATGAGCCACATACTTTTAGTGATGAAACATAAAATTTTGTAGCAAAGTTTTGTCCACTAAAATTTTCCACCAAAAATTGAGTTGGCGCCAATTATTAAGTAATATTAGCCATGAATTTGAACTTATTAGCGACATATTATTTTGTCACTAATGATGTACCCAATTAGTCACGAAGCATTATTTGTCTTAAAAGTAATTAAATTTTGTATACGAAAAAGTTTCGTCACAAAAGATATGTTATGATAATAGTGACTGTTAATTAATAATTGCGGGGCGAGAACA